TCACAGCGCCCCACCTCCCACCGTACCCCCCCCGGGAGCCCTGACCCTGCCTCCCTGCCCCTAGAGTGCAACCACGTGCCCTCACTGGGTGTTCGGGAATCTCAGCCGTCCCTGAGAGGCAGCAGCCACCATGCTTGTGGTGGTCCTGCAGGGGCAGCCCAGCTCCCAGATGCTGGTCCCTTGCTAGGCGAGAGCCGCAAGCCCGCAGGACCACATCCTGGAGGCCATGGGAGCAGCTGGGCACAACCTGGAGGCCTCTGGAACAACTGAGGTGTCAGTGAGGCTTGCCGGGCAGTCTCCGTGGGTGCTCGATGTAGGGTCCCCATGAGAAAAAACCGGCCAAGGTGACATTGGGACACCCTGGGCAGGAGGGAGACGTGGGGGCTGTTGCCCACTGGGTGGGTGTGAGCCAAGGGGGAGAGAGGTCATGGTGGGAAAGGGTCCCATTCCCACTTTTGCAGCTGGAGGGGTGATAGACCCAGTCCCCACACGGGGCTGTGGGTGGGGCTCCCTGTAGGGTCTCCTGTGTCGGCTTCTGTTCAGCTTTTGACCCCAAGGCAGAGGGGATGGCGGGGCACAGGCCACCACAGGACCCGGGTGTGGGAGGCAGCCGTGCCAGCTGGGCGCTGAGCGGACGCTCAGGTGCTCTGCAGGGAGAGCTGTGGGGTTTGCACCCAGACTGAACACAGTTGAGAGGCAGAGGCTCTGGGCTTTGGGCCTGAGCTCTTGGAATGACAGAGACAGACCTGACGAAGGTGTGAGCCAACAAGGTTCTGGGAGCCAAGCAGCTGCATCCTTCCTCAGCCTCCTGCCCCCAGTGGAGAGCAACTTCCGACCCATCCCAGATCCCCGGGGGCTCCCTCCCCATGGAGAGCAGCTTCCGTCCCATCCGAGAAGATCCCTGGGGGTTCCAGGCCTGGCTTTGCCTGGGGGAACGTGGTCATCACTCTGGGTGGGAAGCAGAGGGGCCTGCCAGGGAGGTGAGGTCTTGGGTAGGCAGTTCTCCAGAGCCTCCTGCCTGGTGACAAGGAGGGGAGAGGCCCCTGCTGTGGTTTCAGGAGCTGGGCGTGGCCACCTGGCTGCAGGGGGTAGGCCAAGCCTGGGCGGGAACAGGCAGCCCCGTCCCCAAGAGAGGGCAGCAGGGCTGTGTGTGCTGGGGTAGAATTATTTTGTCTGTGTCTGTGTCATTGTAGTGTAGTTGGGAATGTTGATGGTGCTGTATAGTAATGACATTAAGAGAGCCAGAAGCAGTCGCATAGAATTGCTACAGGAGAATTTGTCTAGCAGTGTTTCAGAAACCTGTGCCCAGCCCTGGTGGTCCTCCCGGGAGGGGAGCTGGGAGGTCTGGGGCCCTAGCCACTACTGGGGGTGCTGGAAGCCACTGCATGGCAGTGGCCTTGCGCAGGGAGGGCCCCCACCGCACTTTCCTGGAGAGCCTCTGTGTGGTGCCACGTGTGCTGACCCCGGTGTGCACTGCAGACCTGTGGGGGGGGGGGTTCAGGGCCTCCACTGCCTCAGCCTAGCAGGGGTTCCTGCAGCTGGGACAGTGGCCTGAGGCGGCCCGGCTGGCACCCCAGAGCTGGGCTGGATGGTGGGTGGTGCTGGGGACACAGCTCCTGAAGCCTTTCCAGGCCTCTCTTGTCTGTGTTTTCATTCCACACTGGGGTGGTCACTGCGGCCAGCACGTGGGGTCCTGTGTGTGTGGATTAGATAATCAGGGCCCAGGCCCAGTGCGGTGGTGACTCACACCTGTCATCCCAGCACTCTGGGAGGCTGAGGTGGGCGGATCACCTGAGGTCAGGAGATCGACACCAGCGTGGCCACGTGGTGAAATCCCATCTCTACTAAAAACACAAAAAAATTAGCTACACATGGTGACCTGTAATCCCAGCTACTCAGGAGGCTGAGGCAGGAGAATTGCTTGAACCTGGGAGGCAGAGGTTGCAGTGAGCCAAGATCGTGCCACTGCACTCCAGCCTGGGCAACACAGTGAGTCTCCGTCTCAAAAACAAACAAACAAGAAGATAAGCAGGGCCTGACCCACCACTTAGCAGAGTGCCTGGCACAGCCTCACTGCGGAGAACACGATGAAGTGGGTGAGCGCGTGGCTGCTGCTAGTCTCCCTGGCTCCGTGCAGGGTCCCCACCCAGAGCTCATGTCACTTCCCGGTGCAAACCTTCTGGGCCTTTCTTCCGTGGAGCCCAGGCACCTTGGTGTGGTGGTTGGCGCCACCCATGGGGGTGGGGCCGTTGCCCAGTTTACAAATGAGGACCCTGGGGCTGCCCAGGGCATGCACTGTCCCTCAGTCCCTGGGGACTGCCCCCCATCTGGCCTGGACTCCTGTCCCGGCCCCACCCCCACCCGTGGTCTGCCCCAAGGGGGACTCCGGTCCTCACAGGAGCGGGGGTGGCCACACTGCTGCCTGTCATGGTGGCCTTGGACGGGACGCTGTACGGTCTCTGAGCTGTACCACCAACCCCTCAGGTGTATGTGGAGTGACTGAGCCACTGGGCAGAGTGGGGTGTCGGGTGCAGCGGTGGGGCTGGCAAGGGCCCCTGCCTGGGCCTCCTTGGTCATGCCTCTCTCAGCAGCTGGGCAGGGCAGGGCAGTGCTGTGGCATTGCTGTGGGGCCTCTGAAACCTGTCAGGCGCAGCCCACAGGGCCGGCCTCACCCTGGAAAGCCCCGGAGTGGCCAGGAGAGGGGCCAGCTGCATGGCTATCCCAGGCCTGGGTACCTTTCCCACTGTCTTAGGGTAGCAGGCAAAGCGCTGGCTCGCACCTCAAGAGTAGAGTCCTGGGACAGCCCTCCCAGAGCTTCCTGGGAATGGCCTCCGTTCTCTGCAGTGAGTGTGGCTGCAGCGCTGGCTGGGGGTTTGTGGGCACAGGGGCTGCGCCTGGAGCCGGAGACGTCGGAGGCTGCCCGGTGTGGGCACCCACCCCTGTGCTGTCTGTTCTCTAGAATGTTCACTCAGCAGCGCTTGTGAGCCCTGCCTGGGGCTAAGCAGGGGGCAGGACAGATGGACGTTCTGGTTCGGGTCAAACGGGACAGGAAACTAACTGCCTTGTGCTGGGTGTGACTGGGGCCGGGGCCGGGAGGGAGGGAGCTGGAGGGTGGGTCTGTGGATGGGAGGAGGGGCCTGCAGAAATCTTTATATTTTTTTGAAAGCAAAGTAACACTAAAGCAGGTTTACAGAAAATGTGGTAAATGTAAACAATTTGCCCTTGACACATGCATCCTTCTGGCCAGCTGTGAACACTGGCGATGGAGAGAGGTGTGGAGCGGGCCTGGGGGAGCATCTGTGCCCTGAGGGCACCACTCGGTTGTGCCTCCTCATATCTGCCCTTTGCCTGTCTCCTCTGACTCTTTGCCCATTAAAAAACAAATCCTAGCTCAGCAGTGCCCTGCATGGCAGGCTGCCCTTGCAGGTTTCATAGTTACTGGGAAAGGTAACACCTTGATTTGTTCCTACTTTTGATCCAGCGCTGTGAACAGCCGTTCTCTCGGCTGCAGCCTTTGATTTGTCCAGGCTTAGACCCTCAGAGCTCAGTGGGACTGGGATTGGATCCATAGCTGCCTGGGACGGGCAGCCCTGACGGATCCTGGGTGGAAGAGCAGGAACTCTCGAGACCACAGGCTCTCGGGGCTTGAACAGGCCGCTCACAGCAGGGCTCTGGGCCTTGAGTGGTGGCTCTGCAGAGAGCACATGGCAGGAGCTGGGTCTTGGGGAGGCAAGGAGGCTTCCTGGAGCCGGAAACAGCGGAGTTGGAGTGACAGGATCAGCCCTTATGGGCAGGGGGCCTGGAAATGCTGCTGGGCCTCTCAGGGCCTCCAGCTCAGACTGGTGGGGGTGGTGCTTGTGTCATGGGGAGGGCTCCCAGCCGGGGAGGGCGTGGCCGGCAACACCATGGCTGTGTCCCTGTCGTCTGTCCTTACTGGAGGGACAGCCAAGGCCCTTCTCCCCAGGGACACTGTGGCTCTATGTGGGGGCGGGTCCTCCTCCCCAGGGACGCCGTGGCCCTCTGTGGGGGCGGGTCCTCCCCAGTGACTTCCCAGGGTCCTTGGCAGCAGCTCTGATGTGGGTCCTGTCCTAGGCTTCACTGCTGCTGTTTTTCTCACAGCCGTGCTCTCCCCGAGAGGATTCTATCCTTTCGTGGATGCTTGTCGCTGGCCAGCTGGCTCCTCTGTATCCTAGACTTGATGCATCGTGTATGTCTGCGCCAGCCCTAGTGCTAGGAGCCGAGCCAGCATACAGAAGGTGCTTACTAGTGGTTTACCGAGTGTGGGGGTGGGGACCCCAGAACCTGGGGCTGCCCGATGTCCACCGGCAGGGCGGGAGCTGGAGTGTCCTGGGGCTCTCCACAGGCTAGTTGGTACTCTGAAGGAGTTGAGATGGGACGAGAGGGACCAGGGGAGGCCAGCAGGTTTACAGGGGACCTGGGGGTGTCCCCAGGGTCTGATAGCCCAACGGTGAGCACTGGGAAGCATCTCTGTCCCAAATCCACAGACCCGTCTGGGAGCACTGGCCAGACCCCCTCAGGCCCTCTGGAATACAGTGTCTCCTGGGGAAGCACTTCCCATGGGCTGTTGCCTGGAGGAGCACTTCTTGTGGGGCCTGGGTGTCCCCTGGAGAGGCTCCTGTGGTCCCTGGCCCCCACTGCAGGGCACTCGCTCAGTGTTGAAAGACAGCCCTGGTCTCAGCAGGGCTCAGAGGGGGCAGTCCTGGGCAGCCCTGGGCTGGCCTCCTGTGAAACTTACTAGAGATTCCCTGCTGGGCTAAGCTTTGTCGGGCCCCTTTGCTGGCTGAGCCCTGGGAAACTCCCATCCCCCGTCCCACTTCAGCATCTCACCTGCCGTCTTCCTTCCCCTCAGAGATGCCCTTCCCAAGTCTGGAGGCTCCTTCCCTTGAGAGCTGCTGAGGTGGGTGCTGTCCCAGGTGCTGTCCTGGGCCCAAGGCCCTGGGGTCCCACCAATTAACTGGCGTTTCCCTGTCTCCCTGCAGAAGGATATGGCCCTGAAGCCACATGAGCGGAAGGAGAAGTGGGAGCGTCGCCTCATCAAGAAGCCCCGGGAGTCGGAAACCTGCCCCCCTGCGGAGCCGAGTGAGAACAGGCGGCCCCTGGAGGCAGGCAGCCCCGGGCAGGACCTCGAGCCCGCCTGCGATGGGGCGAGGAAGGTCCCACTGCAACCCTCCAAGCAGGTGAGCAGGTCCCTCCCCGACCGGGAGCTCTGCGTCGGGTCAGTGCTCACCGCCCCGGGGCCACGCCAGCACCTGGACACCACCCCATGTGGCCCCCGGGCCTGCCTGGCAGCGCGTCCATCGTTGTCAGGCTTGGGGTGCAGGACACGTGGACAGGGCTGGGCTGAGCAGAGGCAGGAGCCCGCTGGGTCACGGAGGGGTCGTGACGTGCCTAGGGCCACAGCAGGAGAGGTGCCTATCTGGGGCAGCAAGGCGCGCGTGCCGGGCTGGGGCGCCAAACTGATAGGCCGGCCCCGTTTCCCTGCCGTGTCCATCAGGCTCCGCCGACTACAGGTGTCCAGCGTGTCTATAAGGAGGGGTCCAGGCGCATTGCCGAGGGCTGTCCTGTCCACACGCAGCGCCATCTGCTCACGTGTGCAGCGTGGGGAGGGGAACGCTTGGTCCCGGCGGTGGCTACAGGCACGTGACTGTGGTCAGTGGTCAGGTGCGTGGCCCAGCTGGGAACAGGGCTCTGCCTGCCCTGCCCAGGAGCCTCCTGCCCAGGAGGGGCTGTCAGAGCAGGTGGGGGCTTCCCTAGCGTGTGGGGCTCTGTCCTGGGTGCGGCTCAGCCTGCAGCTGCTTCCTCTGCAGGGGGTCCACTGGTGTGCGCCTTCCTTCCTTCCAGGGTGGGGCTCTGCGCGGTGTCCTCGGCTCCCCTCGGCCCCCTTGGGAATTGGGCTGCTGGAGAAGGACAGCATGCCTCCTGGGCCTGGGCTGGACGGGGGTTCCGCGGGCGGTGACACCTGCCCAGGTGGACACGTGCTCTTTCTTCCATGCAGGTGTGCTCCCCAGAAGGGGGGCCGCTCCCAGCCAGCCACTGGGACCAGAACGGCCCGGCCCAGCGCCAGCAACAGCTCCAGCCCAGCCAGCCCAGCCAGCCCCAGGGGTCCCTCCCAGCCCCGTCGGCACTCCCGGACCCCGGGCAGCCCTGCCAGCCCTCCCAGCGGCCACTCCTGGGTCAGCGCAGCTGGCCCCAGCGGTCACTTCTGGGCCTGAAACAGCCCTGCCAGCCCCGGCGGTCACTTCTGGGCCCCGGTCAGCCCTGTCGGCCCCAGCGGCTCCTTCCAGCCCCAGATCAGCTCTGCCAGCCCCAGCGGTCACGCCTGGCCCAGCCCTGCCGGCCGCATTGGGCACTCCCAGGCCCCAGGCAGTGCTGCCGGCGCCTGCGGTCACTGCTGACCCCGTGTCACCACTGCCGGCGCCTGCGGTCCCTCCTGGCCCCACGGTCCCTTCTGGTCCCCTGCCTGTACTGCCGGCGCCTGCGGTCCCTCCTGGCCCCAAGGCACCGCTGCAGGCGCCTGCGGTCCCTGCTGACCCTGTGGCACCGCTGCCGGCCCCTGCGGCCGTGGGCCAACCCGTGTCACTGTGGCCAGCCCGGCAGGGCATCCTCAGGACAGCGCAGCCGGCCCCTGTGGTCGCTGCTAGCCCAGTGCCAGCGATACCAGCCCCCACGGCCACTCCTCACCCTCCGACCACGCCGACGGCCCGCCAGCTTCCTCCCAGGACAGTGCTGCTGCCCCCGGCGGGCCTTCCTAGCCCCGTGTCAGTACGGCCAGCCCCGAAGGTCCCTGCTGGGCCAGCCCAGCCGTCCCCGGCGGTCACTGCTGCGCCCCAGGCAGCCCCAGCGGTTAGTGGAAGCCCCAGAGCAGCCCGGCCCACTCACGCCTTCACTCTTGGGCCCGGGACGGCCAAGGCAGCAGAAGCAGCCACTCATGGGCCTGGAGCAGCCCTGCCCACCCAAGCGGCCGCTCATGGGCCCAGAGCAGCCCTGCCAGCCCCTGCGGCCGCTCATGGGCCCCAACAAGCCCTGCAAACCCCAGCCATTGCTCCCCATTCCCGATCGCCCTTCACTCCTGGGGCAGCCAGGCCCACGCTGCCGGCCTCTCCTGGGGCTTCTCTGCCAGCCGCGGCGGTCCCTGTTGGATCTGGTGCCAGCCCGTCAGCCGCGGCTCTCGCTTCTGGCCCTGGGCCATCCCTGCCGGCCCCTGAGGTCACGGTGGACCCGATCCTGTGCCCCCGGGGTGGCCCGTCAGGCCCCATCTGTGAGCCCTGGAGCCTGATGCCTGCAGGCACCTCCCCATATGGGTTTTCCAGCCCACTCTGGTGTGAGCTGCACCCTGGCAGGGCCCTGAGGGCCAAGGCTGCCTTGCCCTTCGGGCCGGAGATGCTTTGCTGGACTAGCCTGAGGCCTTCTCTAGACAGGGCTGGGCTGTTTGTCGTTGGAAATTGAGGCTCGGCTGGAGGCGGGAGCCCCTGCAGGGCCGTGATCAGGCTGAGGCCCACCACACCAGGAGGAGAGATGAACTGGCATCTGCGTGCTGCCCCGCCATGCTCCCTCTTCCCCCACTGGTGTCACAGTGCCCCCACCCGCGTTGCTGCCTGTGCTGTGCGTGCCCTGGGAGGGGAACACAGCCCCCGAGGGCGGGGAGCTTGCTGGGGGCCCCTCAGCATCTTTCTGTGCCTCTGAATTGACAATACTGTCCTTGCATCTCTGAGTCTGCGTGCACGCCTGCCCCACGCGTGCCAGCTGTGCAGAGCGCGTGAGCCTGGTGTGTGTGTGCTGTGTGCGCATGTGCGCTGTGTCCACGTGCGTGCGAGAGAGGGTGTGAGTGAGTGGTGTGCTGGGCAGGAACGATCTGTGGGGTGCTGCAGTTCCTGCAGAATAGCCCAGTGGCGAATGGTGAAGGTGTGGGTTTCAGTTCAGGCCCTCCCCCTGGTATTCAGGAGGTGCTGGTGTCCACCTCCAGGGCCCCCAAGCTGCAGGGGGCACACGGGCCTATCTGGTGGGTCAGGAGCTGCAGGGGACCCGGAGGCTCCCACCCCCACCTCTCAGGACTCTGCGTCTACCACCCCCGTGGGCATGCACTGATGGGTTGCCCACAGCGTCTGCAGGTGAGGGGGAGCCCATAGGGTGGGCAGCGCCTTCTGGCTTCCCCATAGTCCCCCGCAGTGTCCCGTCTGACTGTTGACCTACATGCAGTCGGGCACACGTCACACTACAAGGCTACCCCTGGGCCCATCCCTGCCCCTTCCACGGCCCCCACCTGTGGTCAGGGGTTGCCACCCCCTCAGGACTTGGTCTCAAGGCAGTCCCACTTGAGTCTTCTGGAGTCCGAGGCACACCACTGGCCCAAAAGGGAGGGGGTGTTTGGGGGGGCTCTGACTGTCTCCAGACCTTAGGGGAGCTGGGCAGGCTGTAGCCAGTGGCCCTCCAGAGAGCAGCGTTGACCACCTGGACGCCTGCGCCAAGTGACAGGAGACCCTGGTCCCGCAGGCCTGGTCTCGCCCAGCTGGGCAGCCTCGGGTGTCAGGAAGGGGGGTAGGTGTCCCTGGCTCCCAGGCCAGGCAGCTGCTGACCCCCAGTTCCCTGCAGTTGCTCATGAGGACCCCACACCCGCAGGCCCTCCTGGGTCCTGACCAGCCTCTGGTGCAGCATCTGCTTTGGCCTATGGGTCCCCTCGCTCCCCACCCACGCAGGCCCCTTCCTCCGGTGCTCACCTGGGGCCTTCATCCCAGAAGCGCAGGGCTTATTTTTCTGATTAAAGAAAATAAAAAGTGCCGTGCCACTATTTTTTATAACAGCATCAGTGTTTGTAATTTAAACAGACGAGCTTGTGTCTTACGTGATTTATTCCCACAAACGGCTTTTGTGCTGGGCTTGGCTCGGGGTTCATTGCACTCTGACCAAACGGGAGACCTGGAGCATCTGTTCCTGGCCTTCCTGCCCACCCATCTGAGGCCTGGAGTGTGGGTCTGTACTGTGCTTGGCATGCAGGGTGCTGGCCTCCAGATCCCCCCACCGCAAGGCTACTGTGTGGGCCAGTGTGGCAGGGGTCAAGATCCCCCTTTCAGCTCGTGCCTGGGGGGCACCCATCCCCGGGGTAGGTGCCCTGGGCACTGGTGAGGGAGGGTGGTTCAGCCCAGCGTCCTCTGCGCGGCCTGTCAGATGCCTGTGTTCTCACAGAAGGCCGGGGCATGGAGGGGCCGAGTCCTGGCTGCGGCCCACTGGCTGAGCTCCGGGCTAGACCTGGCACACTTGGGGTGCGGGCTTGGAGGGCGGTGCCATCTCAGTCACCCACACAAGCCATTGTCTCACAAAGGGGCTGGAGTTGCCTTCAGACGTCTCTGTTGTTATGCATGGGGAACAATGGTGATTTCAACAGCCTCCTGCCCTCCTTCCAGGCTCAGGCCCCCGCCCCCACTGCCAGGCTCCTGTGAGTACAGAGGGGGCCGAGTGAGTAGAGTTATGTCTGGGGCAGGCCCCAACGGCTTGAGGGAGTGGGGAGGGGCCATTCATGCTGGAGCTGAGCAGTGGCACTTGGCTGCCCCTTAATGGGGAAGGCCAGGCTGCCAGGGAGGGCTGAGGAGGGCTGGAAACTGCAGCGTGGGTCCCTGTGACCAGCAGCTGGGGGTGCAGAGGACACCTGTGGAGGAAACATTCAGGACCCAGAGGGGCTCCCAAGGCCTGGCCGTGATTCTGCAGCCTCCAGCTTGAACCCATTGTCTGCACTGGCCTGGGGTCAGGGTGCCACCATGGGGAGGGCAGAGATGCCAGAGCCCTACAGGGTTGGACATCTGTGTTGTGTCCTGAGGCCCGCACCCTGGTGGGGACACTGCTGCCAGGTGTTGCCCTGGGAAATGCAGATTCTGTGTGGCCAGATATTTGATGTTTCTGAAGAGCTGGAAATCCACGTTTCTCTGGATTTGGCAATGTTGAAATGTTGGTGGTCAGTTCTAATTTTTATGATTGACTTTGCTGACCAGAAGACATAGCTGCGGGCCTGCCAGGCCTCCAGCAAGTGGGATTTGGCTCCCATCACAGGCAGCAGATCGGAGCCTGAGGCCTGGGTGGGACGTGGCTTGTCCTCTTATTTCTGGAAGGGGTCGGTACTCAGTGGGAAGGTGGGCTTGGGTCCTGGCTGCTGTAGAGAGGGTGGGGGCAGCGCAGCCTGAAGGTTGAG